CCTCTCAGGACACTGCAAAGATTTCATTTACCACCAATTGCCCTCTGGTTGTTTTACATTTATGGGGTGGGCACTGAAGAAAGGAAGCAAGCAGGGAGGGGGTGTAATTAGCTCTGCTTGGAAAACGTTCATCCCAGTTGTAACAGCAACTGGAGCCTGTCGGGGGCTTAAGAGAATCAGGGTTTTGTTCCTTGCTGAAGTGTCTGTGCTGGGTGGGAGGGGGGAGAAAAAAAGGGGAGAAAAAGAAATATATTAAGGGGAAAAAAAAAAAATCAATAAGTGGATCGTACTTCTTGCCACAAGCCCATATGGAAGTAATCAGGCACAAGGGTGGCAGCTGGGGCCAATAACAGTCACCTGCAGTTGAGGGACATGGGGGTTTCGGATGGGTTTTTAATGCTAATTTCCTGCAGGAACAATGCGGGAGCGGCAGCCGAGGCGGGATGAATGGGGCCCAGCGGGAACAATGGCTGCACCTGGCGCCGGGAGCAGCGGCACGGAGCCGGCACGCGGCCGCGGCACATCTGCTGCGCGCAGCCCCCGTCCCCCCGTCCGCAGCCCCGGCTCCAGCTCCAGAGCCGCTCGCTGCAACAGGTTGAGAGGGGCTGGGGCGCTGCCACCGCTTGCCCGTGGCTTGGGGCGAGCTCAAGGATGGGGCTCAGCGCCCCTGAGGGCTCCTGGGTGCTGGAGAGGGGCTGCAGTGACAGGACAGGGGTGATGGGTTCAAACTGACACAGGGGATGCTCGGGTGCGCCCCTGAGGGCTCCTGGGTGCTGGAGAGGGGCAGCAGTGACAGGACAGGGGTGATGGGTTCAAACTGACACAGGGGATGCTCGGGTGCGCTCCTGAGGGCTCCTGGATGCTGGAGAGGGGCTGCAGTGACAGGACAGGGGTGATGGGTTCAAACTGACACAGGGGATGCTCGGGTATGCCCCTGAGGGCTCCTGGATGCTGGAGAGGGGCTGCAGTGACAGGACAGGGGTGATGGATTCAAACTGACACAGGGGATGCTCGGGTTAGATACAAGGAAAAAGCTCTTCCCTGTGAGGGTGCTGAGGCACTGGCACAGGGTGCCCAGAGAAGCTGTGGCTGCCCCATCCCTGCACTGTTCAAGGCCAGGCTGGACAGAGCCTTGGGTGACATGGTTTAGTTGTTAGGTATCCATGCCCATGACAGGGGGTTGGAACTGGATGATCTTCAGGTCCTACCCAACCCTAGCCAGTCTATGATTCCATGATTCTTGGGTTGGTTATGGTGAAAGAGATGCCTTTGAAAGGGACAGATAGGCAGCATCCCACCATCAGGTTGTGGCAGCCTGTTGCTGGAAGGAAAACTGACTCTCAGCTTTGTAGTTTCCATAAGAGTGGAGAGCAACAGAGCAGCAGATCTGCAACAGCCCTGGTTCTTCCTGTGAGCATCCTCCTTCAACAGCACAAGTCCTGTTACAGCCATGAAGGACTGGAGTCCCGCATGGGAGCACACCAAGGAAATTCAATGCATGTTATTGTAAAACCTTACACTTGCCTTGCAAAACCACCACTGCCCAGCCTAGTAAAAGGCATGACTGTAACACTTTAAAATGCTTTGAAATGACTCTTCCCCATTCAGGCAGGAGCCACCAACACACAAAACACTGCTGATGTCAAGGCCCTGCCTTAGAAAATTGCTTGCAGACCCAGGAACAGAACCCAAAGTTCTCCGTGCTGCACTACAGCTGCAGGATCATCACTCACCAGTGCTTCCTGGCTTCTCTTTTGCTCTAAACAAAGGTTTTTCCAGCCTTTCCCTGGATGCTGCATGAATGAAGACAAAAAATAGCAGTTGCCCAAGCTCCCAGAGACCTGCAGTGATGCTGCCCCCAGGGACTGCTCTGGAGTGTCTGTCAAAACACATTTCATACCTAGCTTCTAACAAGCAGTCGGATATGGAAGCAGTTACTAGATGCTAGGATAAAGGCAAGCTTATGATCTAGCCCAGAACCAGTATAGATAAGCCAGCTCTTATTATGGGAAAACGACCCAACAGGCAACAGATTACGAGCATCTCCGTTTGGGTTTCAGAACCAGCCTGCGTTGCCTTAAATCTGCTACATATGCCCAAGTCCTCAAATGACTTCCTTCAGCTCTCCAGCACCACTATAAACATCGCGCATACACGTCAAACAAATCTTGTGTTTTAGCCAAACCCTAAAAAAAACAGAGCTGGAAAAAACAAGAGGCCACCTGGCTCACCCATCCCAGCGAGAGCCGTGGGAGCGCGCTGCCTCCTGCATGCTGCTGCTGCTGCTTCTCTGGGTCAACTCAGGGACCAAAGAGCTGGTTGCCCTGAATATAGCTCCTGAAACGCTCTTTCCTACTGTCCCCCTCCAGTGATCACCTCCACAAGCCAAACCCCACTGTCAGCAATGCGTGACAAAGCTCTGTAAAGCAGCAGTCAAATACTGAGGGACTCTCGGTGATGGGACAGACAAGGCAGCAGCAGCAGTGAAACCCTGCTCTCCGGGGGACACTGGTCCTGCAAGAGTAAGAGGAGTAAAACAGAAGGGAAAGAACAAGCCAAGAGCCTGCCCCACATTCACGTGAGCAAAGCTCCCTTCGCTTCTGGCTGGAGCAGGTTGAAACGAGCCTCTGCAAAAACCAGCACATCCAACTTGCAAAAATAGCAGCAGCGCCTTGGAAGTGAGCAGGGGCTGTGGCTCCAGGCCTTGGGCAGAGCAGAACCTCACTTGGCAGCCCCAGCCTGGCCTTTTCACTAATAAATGGAGTTTCTGCTCTCTTCCTCAGGGCATTCCCTGTGTAACAGACTTCTCAGATTAACGATTTATTCTCCTTGCCTTTAGCGACTCTGCTCCTTCCTCAGACCCTCCGAATCCTTCACTTGACTTCCCGCACTTCCCTGTTGGCAGGGTTTGCTCACACTGCCTCTGCTGTACCCCTTGTACCTTGGTTCATAAACTGCAGTCTCTTAGTTTTGCATAGTTGCAGGTTTCTCTATGATGGAGCACGGCTGCCCCATCCCTGGCAGTGTTCAAGGCCAGGTTGGACACAGGGGCTTGAAGCAAGCTGCTCCAGTGGAAGGTGTCCCTGCCCGTGGCAGGGGGTTGAGGAGCTTTAGGGTCCCTTCCAACACAAACCAGTCAGATTCTCTTCCCAAACACAACCACCGCTCTCACCTGAGCACCAGCCCGTCAGGCACACCAAATCCTTTCAAAAAATAGGAAAATCTGAGAAGAAAACCCAGTTTCCCACAGGGCTTAAGCAAGACACTGTAAATCAGCTATTTCATGTCCAAATCCTGCTGCCCTGACGCCGGCAAAACTTCTGTCTGCTGCCTCAGAGCCCAACCTGCATGGAGACAACGAGAGCAGATGCTCCAACATGCGGCGTTCCCAAATTCAGGAAGTCTTTGGGAGAGCTGCACAGAGGATCACAGCTCTCTGCCTTCAGAGATCGTCACCCTCTGTGCAGCTTGGCTGGAGATCTGCTGGGTTTCATTCCTCCTTTGTGAAACAGAGCTGCAGAGCATCAGGCAGCACACACTCCTCCTGCCTCCTCTCCAGGCTGTGAGGGATGCTCGGGAGGTGTTTGCCATGCTGTAGAAGCAGACTTACAAGAGCTGATTTTCAAAGCCTGTACCCAAACGCTTGTGTGCTGCAAGAGAAGGGAAACCTGAAGGTGGCACACGCAGGGGCTGAGCAGGAGGAGTGTGGAGCTGCAGCCCATGCAGCACCCTGCCAGGGACCTGGCCAGGCTGCACTGCGCTCTCCCTGGGGAATCCCTGTCACTTGGCACAGCGAGAACTAACCCAGACAAAGCAACAGCAAAGTGCCCCAAAGGGAATCACCCTGCACCAGCCTAGCAAGTACTCGTCTCCCTTTTCCCAGCCTGACAGCAAGTGATCCTCAACCACATTTTAGCTCCCCAAACTCTGAGCACTGATTTTGGGGCACCTCCCATGGCTGGGCAGGGTTTCTCCAGCACATAAAGTGGGCTGTGAGTACCATCACAGAGGAACCAAGGGCTGAAGGGGGGAGAAAAAGCCAGTAATATCCCAGAGCCAGGCAGCAGCTCAGCAAACATGCAACAGAGGGATCCCTACAACAAGAGGGATCCCTACAACAACAGGGACCCCCAAGAGCTGGAGAAGCAATTTGAGCCACTGAACCTTCCCAAAAATATCAGGGGATGGAGGGATGTGCAGGTTTAAAATACACATGAGGATCAGGAGATTATAATGGAATAAGTGAAAATACAGCAGCCTGCATCCCAGCAGTGGAAATATATAGGGCAGGGAAGTGTGTTCTAGTAGCACAAAATTGATCCAAGAGATTTAGATGCTGGTAGCATCAGTTGCTGCTCAAGGAGCGCAAAGACAAAAAAGGGAGCAGCAGCCTCTGCCACAATGCAGAGGAGCATGGAAAACAGAGAACATTAAGGAAATTTGGGATCTGATGGAAGAAATCCACCTCTGCAGATTCCACACCCCCCCAGCTTCACTATCAGCAGGCAGAAATGAGAGTAAGGCTCGGTACGGCAGAGAAACGCGTTCTGCTAAAACACACAGATCTCTTCCTGCTTTCTCCCATTTCCCCAGCACACGAATCCCAGCCTTCTGCGCACGGGGAGGTGGGGGGGGGAGAAAATACAAATCAGGAAAAGATAATAATCACCCATTCCATAGCAACACAGAGGAGCCGTAACACAGCTCAGCTCCCCTCCGAGAGAGTTAAGTGTTTTTTCAGCTGCAGAATCCACGCATGCCGCCGGCTCCTCTATTGAAGTTTCCCCCGGCAGAGCCACTGCAGAGGACAGGAGGCAGGGATGGGAGGCTCCCACCCTCTCCCTCTACCTGTGCTCAAGGTTGAGGCTCTCCGTGGACCACCAGCAAACCCCACATTGCTGCTCAAAGCTCCTTGTCAGCAGCTCAGCATCCCCCCACCCCCGAGCATCCCCACTGCGCCTTACCCAGTCCCCTTTAACAACAGACCCCTCTCTGCTTACCCTACACAGCGAGGCTGCAAGGATCCAGCTGCTGGTGGATACACCTATTTTCTTTGAAATATAAAGCAAAAGGGCTCTTCCTCCTCCTCCTCCTCCTCCACTCGTGATCTTCGAGCGCAGCCGGAGCCCAGCCTGCCTTCTCCTTTCATTAGCTGGACATGTGTCAGGTCCCGCACATCTGCGATTTCTCACTGCCTGGAGCCGCCTGTCCGATTCCAGGGAAACACAGATGGATCCCAGATGGGAAGGTCCTGCCAAACAGACCAGCTCTCCACCTTGCCAGAATACCCAGCTTAGAGGCACACACCCTGGGCTCTCTGCCTGCTCCCTGCCTGCGCCGCTGCTGCCAGGCTGCTCGCCAGCTGATGTCACCAAGCACACACCTACCAGCGCCTCGCAGCCCGCCTGACATTAACTTGTTAAATACAAGGGATTTGTTTATGGCCGGCAATAACAGCGAGAGGAAAGGAGGGTTTCATCAGCACGGGTCATCCCCAAACCCACTCTGCCTTTACACAGCGCTGGGTGCAACCCAGCCTTCATCTTAGCCCTCGATTTTGAAATCTGGATGAGCTGTTGGCTAAAGGAGGGAATTAATCCTGTGAAGGTTTCCCCCATGCACATAAATCTTCGCTGTAAAACTCCCCTCCAAGCCCCAGCGCCAGAGTTTGTGGCGCTGGAAAGCTGGCATGTGTTAGCAATTAGAAGCAACAACAAGATAACAAGATACTGATGTTGTGAGGGTACCAAAGGAGGACCCGAAAATTCAAAAGAAGAGCGATTAAATGTGTAACATATTACTGGGATCGAAGAGGAAGTGTTCAAGGAAAACATAAATCTGAACTGGTTTATACAGGGAGTAAACGCCAGCAGGGATCTCACAGCAGCAAGGGAGGCTCAGGACACAAACCCACTGGACACAGCCGTATCTGACCATCTTCCCCCTCCCATTAACACCCAGCTCTGCCACCTACAACCCCCTGGTCATTCTGAATAGCTGCTCCCCGATGTGCAGCATGAACAACAGGTATTAACTGGAGGCCCCAGACTAATCCCATCAGCCCAGCACCATTCACCACAAGCCGGGTGCTGGGGAAACAGGGATTTACACAGCAGCATCCCTGGCCATGCAGATGGGGGTCCCTGGCTGGGACTGCCTTGGAAAACAGGCAATTCCCACAGAACCCAAGGAAGAGAAGCAACATTTGCCTTCTGCTTGCAGACCCTGCCCAGACACAGAGCTCAGGAGGGATTCACTGCTCCAGTCTGTATTTGTATATTCAGCCCTCAATATAACCCTTTCCAAATCTCTGCAGGTAAAACCACCTCTCTCTTCAGATACTTTCTGTGAACCAGGGACCTTCCCCAGACACCGAAAACCTCCCGTGGCCCAAGCTGAGGGATGCTGATGCTTCAAAATCCCCCAAATCACACAAGCAGATCTCCACTGTTGGTGTATGAGTGGTAGTCCATTTACTAACTCACAGACAGCAAAATCCCTCTTTTTATGGCATTCCCAATGCTCCGGTAGGCGACAGCTAACTGCCAAGCCATGTCCATAAACCCACCGTAAGTACTGCCCCCCGGCATCCCACCCAGCCCTTCATCCCCTGCTTCTCTCCCTCTTACTCCTAATGAGTTTATGGTACCTCTGCTTCCCTTTAGGAAGGGAAAAGGCTGTAAAGGGAGGGGAAAAATAAAAGTGCTTTAAAGGAAGTATTAAAAAGCATTCTAGGAGCAGGCATGGCATGTGTTCATGAGCACATGGGCCACCATCGCCTACCCCCAGCACAGGCAGGATGCTGGAAGGTAACAGGGGGGAGGCACTCGGGCAGGAGAAGTTCAGTTGTAGGAGCACATGCAGCTGCTGCAGCCTTGGCTGGATGAGCACCCTGCTCTGAGAAGGGCAGGATTCACAGCTACCCTCCCACCTCCAAACCTCAGTGAAGAGCAGCAGTTTCACACACTGCACTTCAAACAAGATGAATCCCAGGCAAGTTTCAGCACACAGATACCTGGAGCACCTTGTGGAGCCATGCTGCGGCTGGGAGCAGGCAGATCCCACTCCTTCCTGCACCCCAGGCCCCGCTGGCAGGGCTGCTGGCAAAGCACATCAGTAAAACAGTTCAGTTCAGTTCAGCTCGCGGGGGCTTCTGACACTTGTGATGGAGGTTGCGCAAAATGCTGCAGCTCTCGAGATTTCATAAGCCTGAGATGGAAAAATCATCTCTGAATTACACAGACAATGAGGGAGACGAACCCCAGCAGCTCCATGAGCACCAGAATTAATGAAGTTATTTTCCTATGGACTGGTGTGTCATGGTTTGTGCCCCGGCGCCTCGTGCTGTGCGGTCCCCAACAGGAGCCCTCCCCAGCCAGGGTCAAGCCAACAGTGGTGTCTCTCATGTGGATTCTCTGATGTCTTGCAAGTGGAGAGCTCACATTGCAGCTTTGCCCCCACTGGAGATGTCACCAGGCAGATGGACACAGCCCTAGGCGTAAGGCATTAAGCATTCAGCATCAGGCACTGCTGGTCCCTGCCCGGACATCACCAAACCAGCCTGAAACCAGGCAGTGAATTCAAAAGCTGAGCACAAAAAGGAGGGGGATGCTGTGTGACCAAGAGAAGACGCAGCCTGGGAGCTGCCAGGTCTCTGGGTCAATGTCATCAGAGAAAGCCCTCTTACAGGACACATGAGATAGCCTGAGATTTGGGGGTTTATCTGAGATAGGTAACCAGCCCTACGTGTTCCCTCTCCTTCTTTTTAAGTCCTGTTTTAGCTTAAGGACCTCAACAGCTTGTAAATGTTTCACTTTGCATAAACAAAAGCTGTCCCCACCTATGACAACTGGGCTGTAACTCCCATTTGTCAAACCATGGCCAGATAAATCTTCTCCCTATTTTTACAACCTGAAGTAGTTTAAAACATCAAAACCTCAGGCCACTGAGTATCTGCAGCATAGTCACAGTGATTTGACTTTACTGACCTTTATGAAACTGTGCACACTCTTTGCCATGGTGTCCAGAGGCCAATATCTACCAAACCAACATCCTCAGAGAAAGGAAATCTCCACTTCTGGCTAGAGGGGCAGGAATATGCCAAACCTCATGGCTCACCTTGGAGTAAGGAAGATGCACGTGTGGTTTTGGGCTCTCAAGGCACAAAAATACCTAGGTGGGACACCTAGGTGCTCTTGGGTAGTAGCCACTGCAAAACTGCCTTTGAAAGGGTTGTGGATTGTATCTTAAACATGAGCCATGTGCCTAAGCTCACCCAAACCATGACCCATCCCTAAGCTCACCCAAACCATGACCCATCCCTAAGCTCATCCAAACCATGACCCATCCCTAAGCTCACCCAAACCATGACCCATCCCTAAGCTCACTATGGAGCTGCAAGCAAGCCAGGAGAAAGCGTCTGGCACATCCATGTCCTGCTCAGCCACTGCCTTTGCAAACAGAGCAGAGGGAAGTACAGGCAACACGCTACTAAAAGACACCAAGATGCATCATCTATCAACCTCCAGCAGCACCTCGACACAACCAAGAGGCCAACCTGCTCCCAGATATGCATGAAGACAGATTTTGTAACCCAGATATGGCCACTAGGGTGGAAGGAAGGAGGACTGCAGGCAGCACAGGGCAAACTGCTTTCCCAGGCTCGCCGCATTAATCTGCTTCTGCTTTCTTCTCCTGGGAATGTTCCACGGAAAGAAGGATGCAAACAAAGTTTGAACACTGGGAGCTATTGATACCTGCTGCTGAGTGTGGTTTCTGAGGAAAGCAAGGCAATCTGAAGAATTTTTCCACTTTCCAGTGGAATTTTTATGCCTATCACAGCCCACGGCCACAGCAAGCACAAGAGACCTGAACCCCTTCTGATTTTGCTGCTGTTCCACCCATATTTCATGACATACCACAGCTTTATTTTTGTGCCTGCTGGGTTCTTACCTCAGAAAGAAGCTTCCCTCGCATTCACAGCAGCTCTGGAAGGCTTTGCCTTTTTTCAGCTGACCACTTTCCATTGCACAGAAGAATAAATTCAAATGCGCCAAGGCAGCCAAAGCCATTTATCAGGCTAAGTGGAAACCGTAAATTCATGCTAACTGGAATCTGATGGAAACCAATTGGGATCCTCCTCCTCCTCCAGGCTCAGGTCTGGCAGGAAAGTCAAACATTTTATTGCCTTCTTTATGCCTTACTTACAAGTGAGTGGAGCCAAGAAGGGGCTGCTCCCTTTGAAGCCACACTGCTGGGGTTGCAGGGCAGGCCCGTTGACTTGAATACAAGCTCAGCTGACAGAGGCAGGCACCCACCCCCCTTAACAGATCTTAAACCTCTCCATTCCTGGCAAATTTATCACATTTAACAAACATCCTCTTTTCAATACAGCCATGATTTAAATTAGCACATGGGAGATGATGGTAACAAGCTTAATTTGTCAAGTAAATCTAATCACATTGCCTCCTGAAGGAGGAGGAGTGCTTGGCTTATGTGCAATTGCAGTCCTGCCCAGGGAGGGGGGGAATGTATTAAAAGTTGGTTGTAACTGAGCTGGCAGAACTTACACCCAGAAAAACTATGATCAGACACTGCACCTGGAGCAAAGGTGCAACAAGGAACTAAGCACAACCCAAAGAAACTATTGAAACTTTACTTCTGGCCACTGATTTGGGACTGGGGGGGGACAACACCTAAGCAAAACTGACCTTATTCCTGCTGTATGAGTGCATATGTAAAGAAAAACCACCCAAGAATGGATATCCTGTCAAAAAATCCCCTCTAAGACAACAAACCAACTCCTAAACCTAACACTCTTGCTCTGATGAAAGATCCAAGCTCTGTAACTGCCATGGGTATATAAACCAAACACAGAAAGAGGGAAAAAGTGAGTAATCCTGTTTGGAGAGCCCAAAGCCCAGCCTGCAGAGGATTAAGCCCAGTCCAGCAGCTCTGCAGCCTGACAATATCCTCCAGATCAACAGCAGTGCTGTTGGATGACAGAGGTTTGTTCCCATGCATGCACCCACTCCCCCCCAGTTGTAGTTTCAGGCACACTTGTCTTTCCCTGCCCAACACCCAGGTGGGATCCGGAGCATTCCTGGCTTTGGAAGCAAAGCTGGTGGAGTCTCTGCTGCAGCTGACTTGGGCACCTCCCTGCTGCTTCAGAAAACCCAGTTACCTGCCTACAGCTGACATTTCTGCCCCAGCCCTTATGGGGCCAGACCCTTTAGCATGTGCTTATGGTGCAGACAAGCTCTGGAAGCAGAAATCCTCCCTTCTGCAGGTGAGATGATGTGCTTTGAGAACTGTGTCCCAGGTCAGATACTGTTCTGGCCTCCCAGTGCTCTGCACACCTGCCCTGTGGAAGATCACTGACAATTAAGAAAGCACATGTTGAAGCTTATCAAAGCAGGACCTGTCAGCAGAACTCTGTCTGCAAGAAACCTGGAGAGGGGCTTGGGACAAGGGCCTGTAGGGCCAGGCCAAGGGGAATGGCTTGAACCTGCCAGAGGGGAGACTGAGCTGAGCTCTTAGGCAGAAGCTCTTCCCTGTGAGGGTGCTGAGGCGCTGGCACAGGGTGCCCAGAGAAGCTGTGGCTGCCCCATCCCTGGCAGTGCTCAAGGCCAGGTTGGACACAGGGGCTTGGAGCAAGCTGCTCCAGTGGAAGGGGTCCCTGCCTGTGGCAGGGGGTGCAGCTGGAGGAGCTTTCAGGTCCCTTCCAACACAAACCAGGCTGCGGTTCTATGAACCTGTGGTTTTGGTCTCACCCCAGAAAGAACATTTGCAAACAAAACCAGGAGTGCTAAAATGCCTGTGATGGATCCCCAGCCCCTTCCCTACAGCAGGGTCATTACTCCTCAGCTCACTTCCTGCACCTCCCTCAACCGGTGACTTCCCTCCTGCAGGCTGTGGCTTTTCCCCTGATAGCAGCTTTTCCTTCTT